GCTATCATCAAAGCACATGGTTTTGGGTAAATTGTCAGTGGGAGCTAACAAATAATTGTTAATAACTTTCAGCTTCAAATATAACAACATTTTAAAATACAAACATACTAGAAACATATATGTGAGGAGTAGTCACACACAAATAAATTTCTAGATACTGAGGTACAACTCCAGGCTTGGATGACTCTGGTATATTGTATTCTTTTGATGTTGCATTTTGAGTTTTGTATTTGCTTACTTAAAGATTTTATTACTAGTTAGTTTAATTGAATTCATATTCTCTGCACTTAGTTTTAGTTGTGTGGGTTCTCTTCCTGGTCATAGTCAGTTATATTTTGTTCCTCTTTTTCAGTCATCTTGCTTAAGTCTTGTTACGTTTCTTCTGTGTCAAGTTTTGATGTTTGAGCAACAAATATTTATCTGTGCCATGTAGTATTTTTGTCCTTAAGAGTTAAAACTGCATATGTTACAGCTGTATTTTTCTAACCTGTATTCCTCTGCTACTGTGCATGACATTTAATTTTGAACATAAAATGTGGTATTTTTGTTTGAGAATTCTGGTCGTGGGATGAGTTTCTCTGACAAACCTGCCACGCAGTGGATGACTATGTTGTTCTATTTGTCATTCTGATTTCCTAGTGGGTGAAACAACTCATATATTTCAGTATCTTAGTTGTAGTTTTTTAATGCAAAGACCTTCATTCCTCTGTCTTGCATGAAGCAACTATTTTCTAACATTTCACTCTACACTTCCTCATTTATATATATAAAAAAACACAACGGCGGACTTTTTATTCGAAACCACAGGGGTGTCAGATGCTGTAATACTTTTATAAACCCTGTTGATCTTTAACTGTATAGCATGTTTAATTGCACATCTTTCCTGAATGCATTATAAATATATAAAGAAGTTTGTTTGCATATGTATAAAGCTCAGTGTCTGAGATGATGTCAAAGCCCTGATCTAGCAGCACATTGCAAGGTGTGAAAAAGAAGTTGAGCTCATCAACCACATGCTAACCGTCAGTGTCATGGTCCCCTAGTCCTCCTAAACTTCCTGCTCCAAGTTTAGTTTTTCTCCCTATCTCTCTCTCTTCTGTGCATGTGTGTCTGTCTATGGGTGGGACCCACTACAGGTTCCTGCCTCTGGCTGAATGCAGCTGCAGCAATCTGCCACCCACATCATCTCATCAGGAAGCCACTACATAAAGCATTAGCTGAGGCTCCTTCTTTTTTCTGTTTTTTTTTTTTTTTTTTTTTTTTAAACATTATTGTTCTAACAATCTGCCCCTGAGAAAATCTACATTCAGGCTTGAATTTATTTGCTACCTCCCGTTTGAACCCCAGATTTTAAGTAGTCTAAGACATAACAATGATAAATTGTTCCATTTTTTTTTCTTTGAATTTGTTTTCAAATTAAACCATTGATGACATTCTGGTGATCTTAAAACACTACGACAAATCCTTTTCCCAAACATTATTATCTGAGCAGTTACAATTTAGCTTCAGAAGCAGGGATCATATATAATGTCAGCTCTGCATACTGTTCACAGTAAAACAGGAAGTGTCAACAGTTAAAAATAAGATATGTCATCAGTGTCCTCATGTAGGGCTAAAAGAGAAGTAGCAGTGAAAGGCTGAACACATAAAACGAGGTTGCAGAAAGCCTCTACTCCCATAATCAGGTGAAACTTTACTATTTTCTCGCATTCTCTGTTTCTCACTTCTGTTTCAGTGTTTCTGTCAGTAGCAGTGACAGACTTTCAGGCTCAGTGTGAGGATGGGGCTCACTGTGCTCAGCGTGCTGTCCTTATTCTGTGAGTATAAGTAACTTCCTTTATTTGACCGATAAAGACTGAACTATATTGAGTGCTAAATGTTTGTCCAACTATTGATACTACTGGTAAAATTCTATTCATTAAAAATGCTTTTATTTGCGACATGTGACCATTGATGATTGAATGATATGTTACAGTGCTGAATATTACCCTCTGCTGTGGAGACGCTCAAGGTAAATGAACAGCTTTCTTCCTTTTTTATTTTTCTATGGATTGATGTGTGAATAACATTCTTGTTTTTTTCTTCATTTTTGCAAATTATATTAGAAATACATTAATAATTGCTTGTAAAGTGAGAAATCTTCCTCTTCATTAAGACAAAATCTTGTCTGAACTTTTTCTGTGTGTTTATGTTCATGTTGGATTTTAGATGCTGAGCTGAGCCTTAAACCAAACGTGTCCCATTTATTTGCTGGAGAGTCTGTAACCTTCTTCTGTGACATGAGAGAGGGAAATGCCACTGACTGGCTTTACAAATTCAACTGGAATGCTCAAGAAATGGTCCACTTTAGTAAAAGTAGATCCTACTTACTTTACCTGACAGCAGAGCTGAGTGGGAATTATCAATGTATTGGTCGCCACAATGGCTTGAAAGATTTTACAAAACGGAGTAATAACCTGACTCTGTCCATATCAGGTAAGCTACTGTATCATATTTATTAGACTTTCATTCAACAGTAGCACAGCTGTGTTAAATCCAGCATCAGAGTTTCAGTTTATGTTATTCCAAAGTTTCTATTTAGTATTTTTCTTTTATTCTTGTTGATGTAATGATCTCTGCACAGCAGGGCGTGGACAGTAACATTAAGCAGACATTTCCTGCTAAGTTACAAACTCAGAGTCGACCTGTTAAGGCTGAAAATGTAGCAGGAAGTAAATATGTCAAGTATGATGTAACTTTTAGCTGAGCGTTGTGACAACTCGTGAAGATGACATCAAATTAGGAAGCAGTGTGAACTTTAGTGCATTACATACAGCGAAGTGTATGTTATATATAGTATGATGTATGAGAGACGTGAGAAGAACTGGTCACATGAGATGCTGCCTTGATGAATTACTTCACAGCTTTTTATTCTACATATTATGAGAAATTGTTAACGTTGAGGTTTTCCCAGAAAAAAAATGCATAAATAACAAAAACAACATTTTCTAAATCAAACAGCACTCAGACCCACGGCGACTATAACAGCAGACAGGACAACTATTCCAGTGGGGGGCTCGGTGACACTGTCCTGCTCTGTTCAGGGCTCTGCTGGCTGGACATATGATTGGTTCAGACAAGTACCAGATTCTCGTGAAGTAGCAATTAATACGAACAGTTTGCAGAACTTCATTAATGTCTCAGACGAAGGCATCTATCGGTGCAGAGGAAGAAGAGGAAACCCAGTTTTCTTCACAAACCTCAGCAAAGTGTATCACATTCAGAAAACATGTGAGTTTGATAACTTTTTGTAAGAAATAAAAGGACAAAGATTTATGATGACCAACCTTTTCTGTATTAATTCATTTTCGGTATGAAAAGTGTCCAACAGGGCCTTTGTGACTCTGCAACAGAACTGGACTCAGATATTCAGCGGTGAGATGATCACCATCAAGTGTGAGATCCAAGGAGGAGAAAACACTGAGTGGCAGTATGAATGGAGAACAACAAGCTCAAAAACACCTCCCACACACAGTGAATACAACATCAGCAGTGCTTCATTTTCCTACAACGGGCAATATTGGTGTAAGGGTAGAAGAGACTTGTTCTTCTCAACAGTTTGGAGTGATGCTTTTACACTAAATGTCTGTAAGTAAAATCATCTTTGAGTTTATTATGTACTCTTTTTCATCTGACCAACTATAGAAAAACAGATTTGTTTTACTCTAACAAACAGCAAACAAACCCAGACCCACAATTACTGCTGAAAGAAGAACTATACCAGCTGGAGGCAATGTAACACTCAGCTGCTCTGTGGGGAGCTACAATGAGTGGAAATACTTCTGGTTCAGACGTGCCTCAGTCTTTTCAGAAATTCAGGTGATTAGAAACAAAGAACCAGATCAAATGATCACTGTCACACAGGGAGGTATCTACTACTGCAAGGGAGGGAGAGGAAACCCAGTTTTCTTCACAGAGGACAGTCATTCAATTACTATTGAAAAAAGAGGTGAGTTTAAGCGTTTTCATTTGGATTAACATGGGATGCAGAAATATTTAAAACTGGACCAATTGGATTTTTGTTTTTGTAAACAGTTTCCAACAAAGCAGTTGTGTCCCTGGATCCCAGCTGGCCTCTGATATTCAGTGGCGAGAAGATCACTGTTAGATGTCAGATTTCTTTAGGTGGAAGCACTGAGTGGGAGTATGAGTGGAGCAAACCCGACTCAAGCACAGTTCTTGCAAATGATGCATACTTAAATCTTAATGCATCTGTGATCAGCAGTGGAAGCTACAGGTGTATGGGTAAAAACAAACAGGAGCTGTATTCTGTGACAGAGTGGAGTGATGTCATCACACTGACAGTCTCTGGTAAGAAAGTTTTGTTATGCTTATATAAGGCACAAGGGCAACATTTTATAACATTTTATAGTTTATATTACAACCACATAGTATGAGTTATCACTAATTTATTGGGGCAGGATTGATCATTTATAAAACCTTATGGCATAATAAACATTACAACTAATAATGATGAAATCATTATTCTTCATTAACGGGTCATAGCATGTTTAATGACAGCATTTTTGTTGTTTATAAATGACTGTTTTGTAAATTAAGCATTTCATCAAGTATAAAATGCTTAGACCTAATAGCAGTAGCATTATGTTGAAAGTGTAAGTAAAAAAA